AAGCTTCATCCCCCCCTGGTCCTCGTCCCGTCCGCGTTCTGCTGCCTCTCTCTTCCTCTTCTATACCTCCCATGGTCTTGTCGACTCTGGGAGAAAGTGCACCTGTTGTGGAGAATCGGCCTCCGAGGCCGCTGTAACCAAATGCGGTCAATTTGATTGTTTCCAGTCAGTCCATTCTAACGGGTCCCTCCCACGTAAACCTCCCCATGCACATTTGCACATAGCGGGTGTATGGGTGGACCAGAGTCATATAACGCAGTACCACACCTCAGTCAAATCATGGTATTGTAGATTTTGCGGATGATTTGCTTCCCCTGTGCTGCGCGAATTCGGCAATATGTGCACCAATCGTATTACCCCCACTCGAGGGGAACTTCTCGGCAACTTTGCTCGCGTATTGTGGCCCAACATTTGAAGCGCAGCAGAGAAGCAGAGGCATGGTCATTTATTATCATGCCTTCATGTCTAATTCATCCCGTAGTGTTAGCAATCATCGACTTTGTCATATGGTCATACTCTTACTCATGCCCATATTCATACTCATACTCATACTCATACTCATACTCATACTCATACTCGTACTCATATTCGTACTCATACCCATACTCATGCTCATACTCAAACTCAAACTCATTTTCGTAATCATACTCATACCAATACTCATACTTATACTTAAACTTGTACTCGTATTCAGACTCGTACTCCTACTCCTACTTCTATTCCTACTCTTACTCATATTCATGCTCATGCTCTTACTCATATGTACTCCTCCTCCTCCTCCTCCTACTCCTCCTTTCTCCTGGGGGATCTCCAGCGACCTCCGCAGACCTCCGGAGGGCTCATCAGACTTCTGGGGGGGGGGATCTGTGGAGGCCCTTGGGCACCCTGTGGGGCCTCCTCCTTCGCCTCGTCCTCCCTCCTCCTCCTCCTCCTCCTCCTCCTCCTCCTCCTCCTCCTCCTCCTCCTCCGCCGGGGCCTCCTCCTTCGCCTCGTCCTCCTGTTCTTCTGGGCCCGTGCTCGTTTCCACGGCTGGATGCGATGTGGAAGATCGGGCAGGATGGCAACACGGCAGGGACGGGGGGACCGAGTGGATAGAGAGCTTGGCGGAGGATGGCGCGAGTGCGACCAGACACTTTTTCACGACGGAGCTTTTGCTCCCACTCGTGGCCCACTGGAGTTTCACAACGATTCGATCGGCTCTTGCCGATCGGAGTTCCAGTGGAGCAAACGAGTAATTGCGCCCGTGCGAGCGGAAAATGCGGCAAGCGAAGAGGTGCTCACGCTGATAGCGAACAAACTCCTGACGTGCTTCACCAAGCATGCGCTAGTCATGCAGCTCACTAGCGCGTACGCCCTGGGCTCAGTTGACAATACGAGGAGGATGATGAACAGGGGGAGGAGGAGACGGCTCAGGAGGAGGAGAGGGATGATGATGCTGATGATGATAATGATGATGATGACGATGATGATGATGATGATGACGATGATGATGATGATGATGATGATGATGATGATGATGATGATGATGATGATGATGATGATGATGATGATGATGATGATGATGATGATTGTGGTGGTGGTGGTGGTGGTGGTGAGGAGGAGGAGGAGGACTTGGAGGAGGAGCGGGAGAGGGAGTTGGTGGAGGGAGGATGATAATAATAAGGAAGAGGGAGTGGCGAGGATGATGATGATGATCATGATGAGGATACGGGGCGTGAAAACGACCACAGCCACTGCTTTTCTTTTGTTGCCGCCTTCCAGCCAGCAGAAACAAAGCAGTGGTTGTGGTCATTTTCGTTAAGTTTGGCACCAGGGAAATGACCACAACCACTGCTTCTTTTTCGGCCGGCTGGAAGGCGGCGCAAACAAGAAGCAGTGGCTGTGGTCATTTTCCCGTCCCGCAGAGGAGGATGAGGATTTCACAGCCTTAAGGGTGGTTGGTCTCTGTAATCATGAAAAAGATGTTTTGGAAGGGTCTGAGTGTCTGTTGATATGAAGCAGGCGTGAGTGAGTGCTCTAAGGGGCAGGATTTGTTTCCTCGTGGAGGCTTCCCCGCAGTATAACCGGGAGGCGCGTGCGGGTGGGGGCGTCCCGCATGTGGATGCGGGTGCCCAGTGGGGGAAAGATTCGATCGCCCCAGTGGGGCGCGACACGTAGAACCGAAGCGCTCTTGCAGTTCTAATAAGCAAGTTGAGTACTGGAGAGTGGTATGTTTGCTGGTATCTTCAGTGAAGGGCTGGGGCGAGAAAGAAGACGGAACGGAATAAGAAGGATCCGTCGCAATGACGGTCGCCGTCGGGTAAGAATATGATCAACACCACGATCAATACCACCAGCAAAACGACAACCTGGTGGTAAGGAGGAGTTCGAGGAGGAGGAGGACGAGGAGGGAGAGAGGGAGGAGGTGGATGGATAATGATGATAATGAGCAGGAGGGATGATTATAATGATGATGACAATGATGATGATGATGATGATGATGATGATGATGATGACGACGATGAGGGTACAAATGGTGATGATGATGATGACGATGATGATGCTGATCATGATGATAACGATGCCGATGCTGCTGATGATGCTGAGGATGGTGACGATGCTGCTGATGATGACGATATGGATGATAATGCTAATGCTGATGATGGTGCTGGTCATGATGCTGATTCTGATGATGATGCTGATGCTGATGTTGATGCTGATAGCAATGATGCTGATGCTGCTGCTGATGAAGATGCTGATGATGCTGATGCTGCTGATGATGATTCTGATCATTATGATGATGGTGGTGATGGTGGTGGTGGTGGTGATGATGCTGATGCTGCTGCTGCTGATGATGATGATGATGATTCTCAGGATGATGCTGATGATGATGGTGGTGGGTGATGATGATGATGCTGATTATGATGATGATGATGATAATGGTAATCATGATGATGCTGACTTTAATGATGATGATGGTGCTAACTATGATGATGATGCTGATGCTGATGCTGCTGCTGCTGATGATAATGATGATGCTGACGATGATGCTGTTGTTGATGATGATGCTGATGATGAAGATGGTGGTGGTGGTGGTGGGATGATGATGATGATGATGATGATGATGATGATGATGATGATGATACTGATGATGCTGATGATGATTATGATGATGATGATGATGATGATGATGATGCTGCTGCTGATGATGATGATGATGATGATGATGAAGAGGATGATGATGATGATGATGATGATGATGATGATGATGATGATGATGATGATGATGGTGATGATGATGATGATGATGATGATGATGATGGTGATGATGATGATGATGATGATGATGATGAGATGATGATGATGATGATGATGATGATGATGATGATGATGATGATGATGATGATGATGATGATGATGATGATGATGATGATGATGATGATGATGATGATGAATGATGATGATGATGATGATGAGATGATGATGATGATGATGATGATGATGGAGGAGGAGGGAGGAGGAGGAGGAGGAGGAGGAGGACTTGGAGGGAGGAGGAGGAGGAGGAGGGAGGAGGAGGAGGAGGAGGAGGAGGAGGAGGAGGAGGGAGGGGAGGAGGAGGAGGAGGAGGAGGAGGAGGAGGAGGAGGGGGAGGACCCGTCTAAGAAGCCTTCACAGAAGCCTCCTGACCATTCCTAGAAGGCCCCGGATTCCCGAGAATCCGTCTCCTCCTTCTCAGATGGCCGCCACCCTCGCGCCACCCTCGTGTCTGCGCCGCCCGAGCCTGACTGCGGCGTGCCCAGCCCGGGATCCTGGTGGCGGAGCTCAATAGTGACGGGGAGGTGGGCGCGATCCGACCTCTCGACTCTGGGCCCGTGCAGCAAGCTCGAGTGCCCTTCCAGAAGTGGGCGCGCGAGGTGATGATCTGGCCCGTGGCGAACTCATGCCCCAGCGAGTTCCGCCAGGCGGCCTACATCTCGTCGCGCCTCGCCGGCATGGCGCGCGAGTGCGCGGGCGAGTGGCCGCTGGCTTCTCTGATCCAGGGAGGGCTCATCAACGGCAACCCAGTGTCGCCCCGCGCTACCTCTGATTCTCCCTGCCGGCCGTGGCAAGTGCCGCTCGCCCGCGCGCCGTGGGGCCTCCCACCCCGTGGGGCACCAGCAGGGGGGCGACGCAAGCGAGCGCAGTCCGACGGCGCGGGCGTCCGTGCGCAAGCTGCCCGCGCGAGGTCGCGCGTGGGCGCCCCCTTGTCTGTTTCCAATGCAGCCTGCCGCGCGGGCGGCCCGCGTGAGCCGCGGCGTGAGGTCGCTATGCCACCCCGCGCAATACCCGTTTTTTTGCTGAGGGCCAGCGACTACAAAGGGTATGGTTACGCCGGGGTGTGGTTTGCGATCGGCGCCGTTCGGGCCTCGGGGGCACGACGCTGCCCTCGTCGGGCCTCCCCGGGGCGCGGGAGAACTCTATCGAGGTCCCCGCGCGCCCCCCAGGGTGCCCCCCAGGATGTTCCCCAGGGTGCTGGTTGCAAACCACATCCTTTGCAAACCACACCCTTTGGAATCGCCGATAGGGGAACGAACAATGACATAAACATCAAAACTCGGAGGTCTGCGCGGATTTGTCGGATCGGCGCTGGACTCCGCTGGCGGCGCCCGTGGCGCGCTCCGCGCGCCAGGGAACGGGGTCCAGCGCCGATCCGAGAAATCCGCGCGGACCTTAGAGTTTTGATGTTTATGCCACTTTTCTTTCCCCTATGGTTGTTCACAGGGAGATCGTTCAGAATTCGGTTTCTGGCCGGAAAGCCGCAGACCGCCCTTTCGTACAAGGTGCAGGGCGCATGCAGCGGGCAGGAGCAGTGCTGCTCCGCCGCATGCACTTGTTTCGAGGGCCTCGCCAACAAAAAAAGGCGTGCTAGGATGGAGAAGCGAGCATATCCGTACCCAGCATAAAAAAGAATTTTACAGGATTGGTGATCGATGGTCGAGGTTCGTCTTTTTTGTATGTTTTTTTTTGTTCTGATTATCTGCCTGATTCGGAGGCCTCCAGAGGCCTACAGGGTTCGTTCTTCAGAGGTCTCCAGGGAGCTCTGGTCCCGCATGTGCACGAGTGACCTACCAAGCAAGGGGCTCGATAGCCGAGGCGCTAGCGCGCAATCTGCCCGCTTTGCAGTCCGTGTGCAGGAGCCCTCTGTTTTTGCGTGGTGTGCCGCGTTGGCAGCCTGCGTACATCACCTTGTGAGGGTCGCGATGTCCTCTCGCCCCGTGAGCTCTCTTGGAGGTATTTTCAAGGGCTTCTTGGTGAAGTCGAGTGGCATCTTTGGTGCCCACTTGGGGACACGTTGGGCCATCTCTGGGACATATTGAGGCCTCTTAGGACCTTCTGGTGGCATCTCGGGGCATTCCGAGCACTTGCGCATCATAAAATGCTTTGAAGCCTCTTGGGGGCTCCGCGGGGCCGTTCGTGCGAGGGCCCCCCCGCCCGAGATTTACAGTATCTTTTGGAAGCAGGGCCAGGGAGCGTGGCTGGTTGCTTCGCCACGCAACTGCCAGTGAACGTGAGTCCAGGAACGATTTCTCCCCGTTCGCGGGGCGCAGGATGCCCCTGCGCGCTCGAGCGACGCGGAAGTGTGTGGGCCGTCTCCGCTCTGAAGGCCCCTTCCCGCCGCGCGCCGCATTTCCCTCGGCCTGATTCGCTGCTCCTCGCCCCCTCGGCCTTCCCCTCTCCTGCCCGCGCCTCCAATTTGCTTCGTGGCGTCCCATCGCTGCCGTGCCGCTGTTCGGATCCGGGTGGCCGCCGACAAACATGATGGGCAAATTTTTCACCACCACTATCATATGTAGGACGGGGCAGAAGGGAGGATGAGGAGGTCCTCCTCCTCCTCCTCTTCCTCCTCTTCCTTCTCCTCCGCCTCCGCCTCCTCCTCCTCCTCCTCCTCCGCCTCCTCCTGCTCTCCTCCTCCCTCCCCTGCTCATGGTTGTGGTGGGTGAGAATGGGCCCGTCAAACAAAAAACCAGCCCAGGCTCGCCGCGGCGGCGGCGGGGCGGGCGGGCGGCGCCGCGCTGGCCCCGACGGCGCGTTGGGCCCTCCACGCGGAGGGCCTGGCGGCGTCCGGCCGCGCGCTCCAGCGAGTGGCGCAGCGCCGCGGGCGCGCGGGCCTGGCCCGCATCTCCATCGGCTTCCCTCCTCCCTCCTTCGCCCTACCTCTTCCCCCGCCTGCCGTTGCCTGAAGAAGAATCGTAAGAATAATCATGATAATAGCATTACGAAGAGTATATATATATATATATATACACACGAAATAACTGTTAATAATAAGAATGCAAGCCGTACTACCACCTACTACTACTACTGCTGCTGCTGCTACTACTACTACTACTTGTACGAATATTAGTAATATTTATAAGAATAATATTTTTAGACAAATATTTTTTTATTCGTACTAATGATAATGCATGTGCTACTAATAATACCAGTGATTCTAATATGAATGTTACTATCAGTAGTAATACTACTAATACGGTTATTACTACTAATAATAATCACACTAATAATGCTGAGACTGTTAAGAATAATATCAAGACAAATAATAACAATACTACTAACACTACTAATCGTACCAATAATTCTTCTTCTTCTAGTTACAGTGTCGCTTTAAATACATGCTCCGCGTGAGGATCATGCATTACAATCCAATGTATTAAACATTCTTTCTTTTTACATCATGCATTAATAGTCCTATGAATTAAAATTCAGATGTTTGAAACATCAAATGTATTAAAACGTATTATAGTACAATTATCCCAGTGCGACCCTACCTAGGAGTTGGAGCCCCTAGGAAAGCAGCATTCGTAGTAACAGTACAGCTAAACTAGTTAAGCTAAAGCTAAGCTAAAGCTAAGCTGAAGCTAAGCTGAAGCTAAGCTAAAGCTAAGCTAAAGCTAAGCTAAGGCTAAGCTTACACTAAGCTACAGCTAAGCTAAAGCTAAGCTAACCCTAAGCTAAAGCTAAGCTAAAGCTACGCTAAAGCTAAGCTAAAGCTAAAGCTAAAGATAAGCTAAAGCTAAGCTAACTCTAAGCCAAGGCTAAGCTAAATCTGAGCTAAAGCTAAGCTGAAGCTAAGCGACAGCTAAGCTAAAGCTAAGCTAAGGCTAAGCTAAAGCTAAGCTAAAGCTAAGCTAAAGCTAAGCTGAAGCTAAGCTAAAGCTAAGCTAAAGCTAAGCTAAATCTAAGCTAAAGCTAAGCTAAAGCTAAGCTAAAGCTAAGCTAAAGCTAAGCTAAAGCTAAGCTAAAACTAAGCTAAAGCCAAGCTGAAGCTAAGCTAAAGCTAAGCTAAAGCTAAGCTAAAACTGAGCTAAAGCTAAGATAAAGCTAATCTAACACTAAGCTAAAGCTAAGCAAACACTAAGCTGAAGCTAAGCTAAAGCTAAGCTAAAGCTAAGCTAACGCTAAGCTAAAGCTAAGCTAAAGCTAAGCTAACACTAAGCTGAAGCTAAGCTGAAGCTAAGCTAAAGCTAAGCTAAAGCTAAGCTAAAGCTAAGCTAAGGCTAAGCTAACACTAAGCTAAAGCTAAGCTAAACATAAGCTGAAGCTAAGCTAAAGTTAAGCTAAGCTAAGCTAACACTAAGCTGAAGCTAAGCTAAAGCTAAGCTAAAGCTAAGCTAAAGCTAAGCTAACACTAAGCTAAAGCTAAGCTAAAGCTAAGCGAAAGCTAAAGCTAAAGCTAAAGCTAAGCTAAAGCTAAAGCTAAGGCTAAAGCTCCCAGGGGACTGGGGGAACCGCGGGGCGGGGACTGGGGGAACCGCCCGGGGCGGTTTCCATTGCCCGGCCCCTTTAGTTAACAGAGTAAGAACCCTTCTAGGCAGAGCCTAGGTAGGGAACATCCGATGTATTCAAAGCTGCCCTGAACGCTGGTCTTGTACCCTCGAGGCGAAGCGTACCAAGCGTGGCGTGCCGCCTGAGGCAGGGCCCGCTGGGCGACGACGCCTGGTCTGGGACGGCCCTTTTCCCTTTTGTCGTTCGGCCTCCCCTGCTGCCGGTCTCCGGTCCGTAGCGTGGCGGAGGGGCGTGTGCTCGGTGGTTTGGTGGTGGATGCCGACAACCAAAGCCCTCCTCCCCCGCCTCCCCAGGCACCCGACGCCGCCGGTTTCTGGCGACCCGGGTGCCCGGACCTCTCGGCCCCCCCTGGCGGCCAGGCCCGGTGCCTCTCGACGCCCCTGCCTAGACCTCTCGACCCCCTGGGCGGACAAGCTGGTGCCTGGCCGGGGCCTGGCCAGGCACCAGCTTGTCCGCCCGCGCCGCTGTTGGGCAGGCCCGGGGCACGGGGAGGGTCCCCGCTTCCTCGCTCCTCGCTCCTCGCCTCGCTCCTCCCTCGTGGATCATTTCGGTACCGAAGGTTCGCTCGCGGTTGTTTCCCCTGGTGTGCTGTGCGAACTTTGACGCGCTGCGGTCAAGCGTCTGCGCGAGCGGGGGTTTGGCTCCGAGTTGTTGCCCAGCATTCTAGGGGCCCGTGTCTGTTGCGATACCGTCTCCGCCGACATGAGGTGCACCAAACGAGCCAGGTACAGGAAAGGCTGTATCACATCGGCTTCTTGTGCTGCGAGTTTGGATCCGTTCTCGAGCGCTGCAGAACAGGCTGTCAGGTCGACGATGTTTGCGACCTTTTTGCAAGAATAGTGAGGACACCATTCTACACCACTTATGGTGGTGCCCAGCTGTGCAGGCTGAGGGAAGTGAACCTCTCGAGGCCATCGAGTGCGACTTTGACTCATTCCCTCCTCCCCGCCTCCCCTAATCCCAACAAGATCGGCTTCTCAGGCGCCATGGGGGATATTTCCGTGGACGGTTCCCGCGTTTCTCACACTATTCCAGAGCAACCCAGGGCTCGCTGGGGCACTGTTTTAGTAGATGACGTGGGTCCGTGCCCCCAGACGGCCCAAGCAGGGGAGTTCGGGGCCTGCGCTGTTGCTGCAGTGCGCACTCTCGAGGGCTCGTCTATTTTTCGTTGACCGCAAAAAAAAAACGTCGCGCTGCAGGCCAGCGGGCCTCTCGTCGAAGCTTTGAGTTGCACGCGCCCGTATGCTGGCTGTTGCTTCCCACGCATCGTAAACTTGCAGGTGGGTTTTCAAAGCGAAAGCCCACGTTGCCGATGCCCATGATCGTAGCAGCCACGAACGCTTCCTCCAGGCGGGAAACGACTCGGCCGGGGCTGTCGCCAAGAGCTCCTTGTCACGCCACCCCCAGCCTGACGAGGAAGAGATTCATAGGATAGATCGGTTTGTAAAGATATTTGAAGCTCTCGCCGACCTGTCCTGTGACGTTCTGCCTGCTTGGCCTTGTTTGCAGATTGACAAAGGTGTGGTGCTCGAAAAGAAGCCTCGACGTAGCCAGCCCAGTGTTGCCAGGCCGTCCCACTCTTGGGTCCGCGCTTCAACTCTTTGGCAGTGCGAGACGTGCCTGCGTGTTTCCAAGGGTGCGAGACACCCCCATCCTGCACCGGGAGTTTGCCCCTCTCGCTTCGATCCTCCTCAGCTTGGGGTGTGTTCGAAGCCTTCCCTCATCGACCCAAGCGCCTTGCGCCTCAGGCAGCACAGGTGCATTGCCCTTGCCTGTTCTAACAATGCGCTGCTTATCGTTAATGCCCGCTGCCATGCTTACTCCAGTCATGGTCATCCTCGCAACCTGTCTGGAAGTTGTAACGGGTTGCCTAAGTCTATTTGGGCTTAACGTTTCGTTTGCCATCTGCAAGGGGAAACATCCGAAGTGTCCAGGGGTCTCAGTCGAGCGTGGTTTTTGGTCCGTGGTCTGATTTCCCCGAGTTGTGCCCTCGCAGACTTCAACTTATTGATGCTGCTGGTGGTCGAGAGCCCAGGCAATTACGAGGTATTTCACTCTCGAACTTTTTGGCGGGCGTTTGCTGACATCTGGTGCAGGGGTGGTCCGCTTCCGAACCTGTGCGTGCATGACTGTTGGTGTCAACAGATTCTTCTCCTCCCTCTCCTCCTTCTCCTCCTGCTCCTGCTCCTCATCTTCCTCCTTCTTCTCCTTCTCCTCCTCCTCAACCTCATTCCTGTGTCGCTGTCGTCGTAGGCACCAGAGTCCTTCCTCCTCCTCCTCCTCCTCCTCCTCCTCCTCCTCCTCCTCCTCCCCCTCTTCCTTCTCCTCCCTCCCCTCCTCCTCCACCTCCTCCTCCTCCTTCTTCTCCTCCTCCTCCTCCTCCTCCTCCTTTCTTGGGCCATCCGAGGCGCTGAGCTTCTACAGCTTCCTGCGGAACTCCAAGCCCCCTCTGTGCGAGTGGCCGAACGACCTAACCTCAGCGTCCGGCCAGTCATCCGACCGGTCGCGCCGTCATGCCCAGACCTTCTTGGCCGTTTGGCAGCGCCGCGGCCGAGGCACCTCGCCTGTCTTCTTGGCGACCAGAGGCCCTTGCCGAAGCCCTGGACCGTCAGGAAACGGCTCGGGATAGCAGGCTGCTCCTGGCGACTTCGGGCGGGGCCAGGACGAGGACCAATCTGGTCAAGAGCGTTCCGGAGCGCTCGGAGGAGCGTTCCGGAGCAGCTCTCGGAGGAGGCTCCGGCGCCCGATGCATCCTCCAGGGCCGCCGGATCTCGGAGATTCTCGATGTTCACCCCCGTCCGATTCTGTCCCTGTCCAGGCTTCGTCTTGAGCTCTCGGAGCGTTCCGGAGCGCTCGGAGGAGGCCGCGGCGCACGATGCATCCTCCAGGACCTCCGGATCTCAGAGATTCTCGATTCATCCCCGTCCGATTTGTTCCCAGACATGCCGCGTCTTGATTTTTTCAATGCGGGGTCCCTGGAAGTCCCGACCCTTTCCCCGGGACCTGGTTTTCATCCTGAGTCGTTTTTTGACGGTCCCGAGGCCCGGAGAGGGCCCCCCGAGGCCGAAATTTGCCCCAAACCTCCCGTCCTGTTTCTTTAACGACGCGATCATGTCTGGATCCCTGTCCAGGCTTCGTCTTAAGAAGGTGGTCGAGAGCTCCTGTGGCCGGCGGCTCGACGAGGCCAGTCCGTCGGAGAGGTTTTGGGTTGCATCGCGCTTTCCAGTCGCGCCTGCCAAGACTTTCGACGGCTCGATAGTTTTAAGTCGGGCATGTCTCTCTACAGGAGGAGTATTCAAAAATAGTCGAAAATTATTCACTGCGTGGAGCTCCCCATATGTGCATCTACTCGCATGGACCTGTCCGCCGTGAATGTCTAGGCGCAAGAGCTTTCGAATATTAACGGGCTTCAGTTGTGACGGTCTGGACATCAATCTAACTGCGAATGAATGGATTGTGAATGAGCCTCAGTAGTACGAGCGCGTCTCTGTGCATGAGCCTGGGGCCTCTGGGGCCTCCTGAAACCTACTGGGGCTTCCTGGGGTCTCCAGGAGCCTCTTGGGACCTCCTGGGACCTCCTAGGAAGGTTTCGTGCCCCAGGAGAGGCGCAATCTATAGCAACAGACGTACATAAAACATTGCGGATTCGAGCCACAGGAGAAGGGCAATCTATAGGAACACGCGTAAAACACCAAGGACTCGTGCCCCAGGAGAGGCCCAATACATAGGAACATGAGTAAAACATTTAGGATTGTGTACACAGGAGAAGGACCATCTATAGAAACATACGTAGAACATCAAAGAATCGTGCTCCAGGTGAGGCCCAATCGATAGGAGCATACGTAAAACACATGGGATTGGAGCCACTCCTGTTGCCTTCTGAGGCCTCCTGCTCCTGGGGCCTCTCGGGGCCTCCTGTTGCCTTCCGAGGCCTCCTGGCGCTTCCTGTTGCCTCCTGGGGCCTCCTGTGGTTTCCTGAGGCCTTCTGGAGCTTCCTGGGGCCTCCTGGAGCCTCTTGGGACATCCTGTGGCCTCTTGAGTCTTTCTGTGGCCTCCTGATGCCTCCTGGGACCTCATGTGGTCTCCTGGGGCCTCCTGGAGCCTGTTGGAGCCTCCTGTGGCATCCTGAGAAGAATCTGCGCCCACGAGCCTGGCCACCAAAACAAGCAAACCCATCGAGACATCCTCAAAATCTGGCCCACCTGGGGGGTGAAAATGAGCGCCTCGCTCGAGACATCCTCCAAATCTGCTCCGCAAGCGAAGGATGTTGAGCCCAGAAACAAGCAAACCGCCTGAGACATCCCCACAAAATGGCCGCGAACGAGCCCGTGCAACCACCCCTGGCGGCTCCCCTTAGGGGTGCTGAAACCAGCGCCCCGCCTGAGACATCCTCACAATCTGCTCTCCAAGCGAAGGATGTTGGGCCCAGAAACAAGCAAACCGCCTGAGACATCCCCACAAAATGGCCGCGAACGAGCCCGTGCAACCACCCCTGGCGGCTCCCCTTAGGCCACGAGCCTGGCCACCAAACAAGCAAACCGATCGAGACATCCTCAAATCTGGCCCACCTGGGGGGTGAAATGAACGCCTCGCTCGAGACATCCTCCAAATCTGCTCCGAAAGCGAAGGATGTTGAGCCCAGAAACAAGCAAACCGCCGGAGACATCCCCACAAAATGGCCGCGAACGAGCCCGTGCAACCACCCCGGGCGGCTCCCCTTAGGGGTGCTGAAACCAGCGCCCCGCCTGAGACATCCTCACAATCTGCTCTCCAAGCGAAGGATGTTGAGCCCGGAAACAAGCAAACCTCCTGAGACATCCCCACAAAATGGCCGCGAACGAGCCCGTGCAACCACCCCTGGCGGCTCCCCTTAGGGGTGCTGAAACCAGCGCCCCGCTTGAGACATCCTCCAAATCGTGTGTGTATGAGTAAGTCTGTGTATGAATAAGTCTGGGTATGAGTAGGTCTGTGTATGAGAAAGTCTGTGTATGTGTACGTCTGGGTATGAGTAAGTCTGAGTATGACTAATACTGTGTATGAGTAAGTCTGGGTATGAATGAGTCTGTGTATGAGTACGTCTGGGTGTGAGTAAGTCTGTGTATGAGTAAGTCTGTGTATGAGTATGTCTGAATGTGAGTAAGTCTGAGTGTGAGTAGGTCTGAGTATGAGTAAATCTGAGTATGAGTAAGTCTGTGTATGAGTAAGTCTGAGTATGAGCAAGTGTGAGTATGAGTAAGTCCGACAGGAGGGGAGGAGAAAAGAGGAGGAGGGAGGAGAAGGAGGAGTAGGAGGCGTCCAAGTAATAACAAGAACCCCATCTTAGGATATGGGGGAAAAATAGTATGGGGAATATTTTTGACAATTTCTGACCATCTTCGCATTTTTTGACTTTCTGACATTTTCCTTCCAACACCCGCTTGTAGGAGGACATGCCCGTTATAACGATAGTTTGAGCCTGGGACCTCTCGTTCCTGCTTCGACCACGCGCAGAGGGGGGAAGGGGGAGGGGGGACATCTTCTTAGACGCACCCCTGCTTCTTAGAAGGCGCGGGCCTTGTCTACAGATGTAGGGCCGGCGCCTTCTGAGAAGCAGCCTCCTTCCAAGAAGTCTTCTCCCCTCCCCCCTCCCCCAATCGTCCTGGAACGGTGCTTGGACCCGAAAACGGCCCCATAGGCCGAGAATGCAGAACAACTTGATTAGATGCTCGTTTTGTGGACCTTCATGTGGCCCACTTCACGGATCTGTTCGACTCCAGTTCGACCCCAGTTGGACTCAAGTTCAACTCAATGTGACTCAGCTTCGACTCCGGTTCGACTCAAGGTCGACTCGAATCGACGGACGTTCGACGCAGCTTCGACGCACGAGCGGAGCGAGTGGCTCCAGGAAGGTCCCCAGAATGAGCAGCCAGACTTGAGGCTCGATGTTTTCAGGTCTCTGGAGGTCGGGGGACCGCGGCTCCGGCCGCGCCGCCGCCGATCGCTGCCGGCCTGGTCGCAGCGAGTGGACGGGTCGCCGCGGTGGCGATCGCCCAGATATCGGCGCGGAGGGGTCGCTTTCCCTGTCCGCCCTCGGCGCTGGCCGGAAGGCCGACCTCAGACCTCTGGCGGAGCGGCTTCTGTCAGCCGCGGCGCTCTTCTCGGCGCCGCACAAGCGCTCGAAGAAGAGAAAGCGGCACAGCCAGACACTTTTGGCGCTCCGCGCGGAGTTCTTGGATCTGCGCTGGGCCCCCCCCGAGCGGCGCCTCCGGCGCCGTCCCTGGCGCGCGGAGCGCGCCAGGGAAGGGGGGTCCAGCGCAGGTCCAGAAACTCCGCGCGGAGCGCCCCACAACTTTCTGTTTATGGCGTGTTTTTTTTTTTTTTTTTTTTTTTTTGTTGTGTTGTGTTTTTTCCCCCTTCTAAACATGCTGAGGCTTCGTCGTGCGCGTCGCCCCCCTCGCCCCCGACGCGCGTGCGGATGGCCCTCCGCCGCGCCGCGACGTGACGAAGGGGCGTGCGCCGCCCCTAGTGGGGCGGGCGGCGCGCGCGCGCCGAGCAAGCTTGCGGTGTACACGCTCGGTGGCGGGCGCCTCCTGGCCATGCTGCTCGGGAAGCGCTGATGTGTGTGCTACACAGGATGGTTGTGCAGTGGCTTCGGGCCGGACGTGCGCCTCCAAGGAGGCCGCGCCGTGCTGGTGTGTCCTTGTGCGTCCCGCGTTTCCGCCGTGGCGGCGTCTGGGCGCAGCTTTCGGCCCCATGCTTCCGTCGTGGCGGCGTCTGGGCGCAGCTCTCACGGTCTCACAGCACCGCGCGCATGTACGGCCTCTCCGTGCGCGAAGCGCACTACGGAGCCGTCCCGCCGGACGGATTATTGGCCGGTCCGCTCCGCTCCGCTCCGCTCCCCCTCCCTAGGGACGCGGTCGAGGGCTTGGCTCATGGGCCGCGGGCCGAGAAACCTCACGCCGTCGGACACCCGGGGCCCAACACCGTGCCTGGATTATGGGCCAGAGGACTCTTGGACGCCTCGTGGGGCTTCGTGGGGAGCCTCTCGGGGGTCTCAAAGGGGGCATTTTGGGGTCCCTTGATGCCTCTTCTTGGAGCCCTTCGTGTGCCTCATGGTGGTCTCTTACGGTCCTCCGGGGGCTTGGGCCCATCTTGGGGGGGATACTTCCAGCGGTCTGGTGGTGGTGCACTTTCGTGGGCCGCTCTTGGGGCCATCGTGGGGGGGCTCTTGGGCCCTCTTGGGAGCCTCGGGGGTCGTCTCGGGGCGATCTTCGGGGCCCCTGAGGCCGGCCCGGAAGCGGTCCAGACCGAAGAGGCGCGAGTTCGTACATCGTGCAGCAACCTTGGTTTTGGCCATCTCAGGCTGGCCCTTCGGGGCCTCCAAGACGGCCCGGGATGCCTCTGAGATGGATGTCTCCTGGGTGGGTCCCCGAAGACATCTTGGAGCATCTCGGAAGTTCGGCGCCCGGGGACGCTCCCAGGGCCTCGGGTGAGGTCACGCGGGGGACCCCTGAAGCTTCTGCATGACCGCCCAGATGCCCCCCCAGCAGTCTGGCGAGCTGGGGTCTTGGGGGCCCGAACGATGGCTTGGCAAGTCTTCAACGATTGGGTGCCCGAAGGGGCCCGAGGACACCACCTGTCGCTGGGCCGCTGCGTGAGGCCTCGTCTTGCCGCGTAGCTGTTGCCTTAGCGCGTCGCCTCTGCCTAATTAGTCTCTGCGTAGCCCGCTTTGACCTGACTCGCCGCTGGCGCGCTCGCCCGCGGCCGCTGACTAAAAAGTATCCCCACCAGACGGCGGTAGCCTCGGCAGCCGTGAGTGCGATAGCTGGGCAATGAGGCCTCGCCCGTAGCCCCGGTTGACCTCTGACGCCGCCTGCGCCTTCGCTTGCGGCTGCGACGGGAAAAGTATCCCCACCAGCCCATCCAGAAACGATGCCCATGAGAGCTGACGGGGGGATGTTCTTCAGGTTTTTGAAGGATGTTGGCCTCTTGGCGGCCTCCTGGGGGGCTCCGTGGCCATCTCGAGCCGTCTTGGAACGGTCGTGGGGCCTCTTGGAGCACCTTGGGAGCCATCTTGAGCCAGCTTGGGCTATCTTGAGCCATCTTGGAGGTAATCGTGGCCTCTCTGAGGCCGCTCGGGGGCCTCCTGGGTGCCTCTCTGGTCTTGAAGCTGGAAACTTGCAAAACAGTTAAACTTGCAAGGCGCACTTTCACAATGTGGCTCTTTGACGCCCTGCGCGTTCGCCTTGAGCGTTCCCATATATCCACGGATGGAAACGAGTGGCTTCAAAATGTAGTTCTCGCGTGGGCCACGTGCATGCACATTTCTAAAACCTCCGCCGAATGCCCTAATGGATAAAGGCTGGTGTTCAAACATGTTGGTCTCGCCCTTAGCCTCGCGCATGTTTGTCTTAAATGTTTCAGGCAGTTACATGGAAGGAGGTTGGTGCCTGTTCTCGGAGGGTTCTCGTTTGAGATGTTCAAATCTATGATGACACGTAGCTGCAACGTATCCGGCAGTTTCTGGTGTGTGTGTGCGCGTGTGTGTATGTTTGTGCGTGTAGCATTTTGTGCTCAAGGTCGGGCTCTCGTGAGATCATGTCAGACAGGGTTACCCGAAGCATAGCTGTGTTCATGAGCTGCGTGGATGGATGGTGGCTCGTTTTCAACGTCGGACTCTCGCTTGACACGTCTATTGAACCTAATGGTGCTGCATCTTGTCCTCTTCCATGGCTGCAAGGACTGGTGCTACTTTCTTCTCAGAGCGAGCCTCCTGGGGCGCTTGACTTCAAAAGAGGCGCACCTGATCTGAACGGTGACGAGTATCTAGTGGCCACCGTTCCTGGGTTGTGGGTCAGAGTTCTCAGGGATGCTTCTTCGGGGTCTCTTTGGCCTTCACTTCTCATGGGGAGCTGTAGGGACTTGTCGCCGACATGCCCGGGATGTATCGCCAATTCCAGGTCGATGTTCCCCTGCGTATGCCAGTCCCCCAGGAAGAAGGAGGAGAAAGAGGAGGAGGAGCCAGAAGAGGAGGAGGAGGAGGAGGAGGAGGAGGAGGAGCAGGATTGGCCCATTAGGGAAATATCGACCCCCAAAGCTCATGCATTGCCAACCTGGACTTGGGTATCCCACTGTGCCCAGGAGCATGCGGTCCGTCGCCGACCTATCGGTCATGCGCATCGCCGATCCCGGGCCGATGCCACCCACCCCCTCCCTTCCTCCCTTCTTCCCCCTCCCCCACTCCCCCTCTCACCTCCCCTCCTTCCCCGCTCCTCCCCCCCTCCTCCACCCCTCATCCTTCCCCTCCTCCCCCTCCGCCTCCTCCCACTCCATCGCTACCTCCTCGTCCTTCCCCTCCTCCTTCTCCTCCTCCTCCTCCTCGTCCTCCTCCTCCCCCTCCTCCTACCTCCTCCTCCTCCTCACTCCTACCCCTCCTCTCCTCCTCCTCCTCCTCCTCCTCTCCTCCTCATCCTCCTCCTCCCCTCCTCTCCCCCCTCCCCCTCCTTCTCCATCCCCTCCTCCTCCTCCTCCTCCTTCTCCTCCTCCTCCTCCTCGGCCCCCTCCTCCCCCGCTCCTCCCCCTTCCTTCCCTTCTTCCCCCTCCCCCATCCACCCTCCGCCTGGATCTGGTGCCCTGGTCCCCCTCCCCCCTCCGGATGTCCTGGAGGTCTTTGGAGGCCCGTCGAAGCCCCCGGAGGCCCCCGGAGGTCCCCGAAAGGCAGAGTGTGTGGTGGAAGCTACGTGTGTGGTGTGTAGGAGGAGAAGGAGGAGGAGAAGGAGGAGGAGGAGGAAGAGGAGGAGGAGGAGGAGGAGGAGGAGGAGGAGGCGGAGGCGGAGGCGGAGGGGGAGGAGGAGGAGGAGGAGGAGGAGAAGGAGGAGGAGGAGGCGGAGGAGGAGGTGGAGGAGGAGGGCGAAAGCTGCGTGGTGCAATCTGTGGTCGGGGACTTCTGGATAGCGTGTCGTTCCGCTGGCTCTGGCCCACCACGCTTCTGCGCGACGCGCTGTCCACTTCCTGGCCCCTGGGCGTCCACGTCCCGAGCTCTTCCGAGCCTCCCGCCCCGCGGAGCGGGGCGACGCGCTGTCCACTCGCAAGGCATAGCGCGTCGCCGGGGCCGCCGCCGCGATGCGCTGAGCAAAAGCTCCCGACCGTATGAGGTGCAAGCTGCGTGGTGCACTCTATGTGTTGCAAGCTGTGTGCTAGGCAGCATGAGGAGCCCACAAGGCACCCATCAGGCGAAGACCCAGAGAACACATCCAAGTACCTGGGGACGAGAGGTGTACGAGTCCCTGAGTGCAGTTACCTCTTTGGGGAACCACAGCATCCGTCATCGCCCCCTCGTTCCTCCTCTCTCTTCCCTCTTCACCTCTCCTCCTCTAACTTCTCCCTGCTCCACGATGGTCGCCCTGGCGACCGTTTCGGGATCGTCCTTTGGCGCCGAGGACCTGACCATCCCCTTCGGGAACGACGAGGTCATCGCAGCGCTGCCCCGTGCGGTCACGGTCGTCTTGGGGCAGGTGCCGCGCAGGAGAAGTAGGAGGAGGATACGAGGCCAATGACCACATTGATGCGGTTGGTGATGGTGATGCTGTTGAGGACGATGATGCTGATGCTGATGCTGATGTTGATGTTGATGCTGATGTTGATGATGCTGTTGCCGATGATGATGGGGAAGGATGACGGTGATGCGATGGTGATAGTGCAGACGATGGTGAGTGCTGCTAGTGATGGTGATGGTGACGACGACGACGTTGATTATGTTGATGACGATGATGCTGTTGCTGATGTTGATGATGATGCTGATGATGACGATGATACTGCTGCTGCTGGTGACGAGGAGGATTACGATGATGATGATGATGATGATGATGATGATGATGATGTTGTTGGTGATGTTGATGAGGGTGATGATGCTGATTATGATGATGCATGATGCGGATGAGGATGATGAAGGTGATGCTGTCGTTAAAGCTGATGATGGTGACGACGAGGATGCTGATGATGAATATGATGCTGCTGATGATGGTGACGATGCTGATGGCGATTCTGATGCTGATGATGCTGATGAGGATGATGATGATGACGAGATGATGATGGCGATGATGATAATGAGCATGATGATGCTGATGATGGTGCTGCTGGTATAGATCATAACGATGATGCTGATGATAATCATGATAATGCTGCTGATGATGCTGATGAGGTCTACGATGATGCTGATGATGGTGAGGACTGGGATGTTGACGATGATGATGACGATGCTAGTAATGATGATAATGATGGTGATGACGATGATGATGAGGATGCAGGCGGTGGCGGTGATGATGATGATGATGATGATGATGATGATGATGATCACGATGATGGGGATTGCGATGCTGAAAACGATGACGGCGACGATGATGAGGATGCTGAGGACGATGATGACGATGAGGATCGATGATGATGACTATGACGATCATGATGGTGCTGCCGATGATGATCATGCTGATGACGATGATGACGGGGATGCTGAAACTGATGATGATGATACTGATTAAGATGTTGATGCTGATGCTGACGATGATGGTGTTGCTGCTGATGATGATTCTTAGGCTTACGCCACACCGCCGACCCCTTGTTTATGCCAATCTGGGGGTTATGGGTGAGAGGCTTCTTGTATGTGTATCGGGATCTCGCGGATCGCTTCTCGGGGGCCTCTGGAAGCGAGTTTTAGAGCCACTTGGGGGCCGTTTCGGAGCCTCTGGGGTGCTTCTTGGGGGTTCCTTGGGGCGTCTGGGCGGCCTCGTGAGGGCCTCTGGGGGCCTCTTGGGGCACTCTTGGGGCCCCCTGGGGCTCCTGGGGGCAGAAAGCTAGAGTTTCAACATGTGTGGTCGCCCTCTTGGGCCCCTCTTGGTGCCGTCTTGGAGCCCTCTTGGGCCGTCTTGGGGACCTCTTGGGCCGTGTTGGGGCCGTCTTGGGCCGTCTGGAGGCCGTCTTGGGGGCCTCTTGGGCCGTCTTGGAGCGTCGGGAAGCCGAAAAAGCGGAAAAGCAAGAAACATCGAAAAACACAACCGCTCGTCCCGGCCGTGCTGCGCTCGTCCCGGCCGTGCTGCGCTCGTCCCGGACCCCCCCCCCCCTCCAAATCGACCGGACCGGGCTCCCGGGGGAGGGGTTTGGGGAGGGGGAAGCATCTCACACGCCGATGATCCCCAAGGGGTCGGCGGATTGATGAGCATGATTATGCTGCTGCTGCTTCTGATGGTGAGGATTGAATTTAGGAGGATGCTCATGATCATGATGATGATGACGACGCGATGGTGATGCTGCTGATGATGATGACGATGCTGGTGATGATGCTGATGCTGATGATGGTAAGGATGAAGACGATGATGACAATGATACGGACGATGATGACTCATTCGAGTATGATGATGGTGACGACGATGATGATGTTGATGTTTATGATGATTACGAGACGGTGATGCCGATGATGGTAATGAGCATGATGATGCTGATGATGGTGCTGATGATGTTGGTCATGACGATGGTGATGCTGCTGATGATAATGATGTTGATAATGATGATGATGGTGATGATGACGATGATGATCACGATGATCATGTGATGATGAGCATTATGATGATGAGGATGGGGATGATGCTGATGATGGTGAGGACGGGGATGTTGACGATGTTGATGACGATGATCGTAATGATGATACTGATGATGATGCTGACACTGATGATGCTGACAATGATGATGATGATGATGATGATGATGATGATGATGATGATGATGATGATGATGCTGATCATGCTGATGATAATGATGAGGATGCTTGCGATGTCGGTGATGGTGATGGGGATTGCGATGCTGATGACGATGACGGTGACGATGATGATGATGATGGTGATAATGATGCTGCCGATAATGACGATGATGATGACGATGATGATGATGATGATGATGATGATGATCATGATGATGATGATGATGACGATGCTGATGACGGTGATGACGAGGATGCTGAAAATGATAATGATACTGATGATAATATTGATGATGATCATGCTGATGATGATGGCGCTGCTACTAATGATGATTGATGGGGATGACGATGCTGCTGCTGATGATGGTATTTAGGATGATGATCATGATCATGATGATGAAGATGCGATGATGATGACGATGATGATGATGACGATGGTGATGATGATGCTGATGTTGGTGATGGTGATGATGATGACGATGCTGGTAATGGTGATGATGACGATGATGAGTAATTTGAGGATGATGCTTATGACGGCGATACTGATGATGGTGTTGATGATGATGCTGAACACGATTATGATAATGATGATGATGATGATGATGATGATGATGATGATGATGATGATGATGATGATGATGGCGATGATGGCGATGATGACGATGATGCTGATGCTGACGATGTTGTTGATGATGATGATGATGATGCTGATGATGATGATGATGATGATGATGATGATTATCTTTTTATTATTATTATTATTTCCGTTATCGATGACGATTGATGATGGTGACTGTTATTGATTGTTACTGATGGCTATTGATGATGGTGATGATGCTGATGATGATGATGATGTCGTTGATGATGCAGATGATGATGATGATGATGATGATGATGATGATGATGATGATGATGATGTTGATGATGAGATGATGCTGATGATGATGATGATGATGATGATGATGATGATGATGATGATGATGATGATGATGATGATGATGATGGTGATGCTGATATTCTGATGATTATTGGTGATATGGTGGGATGGCAGACGATGATGATGATGATGATGATGATGATGATGATGATGATGATGATGATGATGATGATGATGATGATGATGATGGTGGTCTCGTCGATGATGCTGTTGTTGATGATGATTATGATGATGAGGAGGAGGAGGTTCAGCATCCACTGCTAGGATGCTCCCCTTTCTCCTGCTCTCCCCGCTGCCCGCTCTGCCGCCTGGCGCCGCACCTCATGCCCTCGACTGCCCTGCCACTCGCTAGCACTTGCCGTGGAGCGAGGTCACCACCGCGGCCGCGCGTCGTTGAGCGCTTTGCCCCGTCTTCGTGTGCGGTGGCCCGTCTTCGTGATGGTGATGTTGATGATGATGCTGACGATGATGGTGCTGCTGCGGATGATGATTGATGAGCATGATTATGCTGCTGCTGCTGCTCCTGATGGTGAGGATTAAATTTAGGAGGACGATCATGATCATGATGATGAAGACGACGCGATGGTGATGCTGCTGAGGTGGTCGCGTGGAGGCGCTCGCCTGCCGCAGGTGTTTTTGGACAGCCTTCCGCCCTCGCCCTGGATGGGCAGCCCCCGTGCGGGGACGTGCAGTCCTTCGCTCCTCGAGGCCCTGCCGGGGAGCGCGGTGCGACAGGGCGGCCCTTGGCTGCGTCGCGGAGGGCTTCTTCTCCTGGGCGATAACGGGCGTCACCGCAGGGAGGGGGGGAGGGGAGGGGGTGGGCGGGGGGCTGGTGACAGCACGTTTCGCGGCGGCGCCGTCTGGGAACGTCTATGAGCAGGCAAGGCTAGCTCGGAGGTCAGCACGGATCGTGACCTTACCTGGGGGGGAGGGGAGGAGGGGGGCGCGGCTGGGGCCGGCAGCGGCTGTCGCGAAGAATTCGAAACATGCTTTCCTGGGGAAGGAGGTTTGACAGTCGGCTATGGCTGCGTCATGTCTGCGCCAACCAGAACTCAAGGTGAGCTCTCCCCATCACGTCATGCCCCTGGTGCCCTGGCTGCTTGCTTTAGCCGCCAGGTTGCGGTCAAGCTCCTGCAGAACCCGTCGCACAGCCTGCTGTCGAGCTGGATGAGTGCAGTCAGGCAGAACAAGACTGAGGAGCTGATCCAGGAGGCGGGCCAGCCCCCGTGTTTCCTGCCTCCGTCCTTCTGCTTTCCAGAACCTTGTTCCAATCTCCTCCCCACTTCTCCTCTCGGAGTGGAAGGGAGAGGGGGCAGGTCTTCTCAGAGGGCGGCGGGACTTCTCAGAAGCCCTCGGGCCTTTCAGAAGCCTCGTAGGCCCTCTCCGAAGCCGCAGACGGCTTCTCGGCGCGAGGGGCTTCTGAGAAGCCCCGCCGCCCTCCGACGGGACCTGCCCCCTTTCACTTCCCCCCCTCGGCTCGCCGCCGATCCTCTCTCGCACGTCCTCTTCCTCGCCCTTGCCGTCGTCTTGCTCCTGCACTGATGCCCGTTGCTACTACAGTCGGGGCCCTGAAGAAGGAACCCTTTTCGTTGGGGAGGGGCTCCGTGTTCCTTGATTGTTTCGCAGCTTGCCTCAGGTTTTCTCTAGGTTTTCGATGGGAAATCTAACTTTAACTGATGGGAAAAAGGGGCCTCGTTCCTTATTCTGGGTTCCTTGGGTCAAGGCCCCGACTGTAGGGCCCATCGGGGCCACAGCACCTGCCGGCGCCACGACCCACGAGGCCCGCTCGGCAGTAGCCATCCATCCCACCCTTCAGAGCAGCAGCCGCCTGGAGGACGAGGAGGAGAAGAAAGACTCGGCGGCGAGCCCCGCGGGGAAGCGCGAAGGAGCGGGCCTTCTCAGGAGGCTCGGGAGCCCCCTGGCCTTCTGAGAAGTTTTCGCAGCTCTCCCCGAAGACACAGAACTTGTCAGAAGGCCGGAGGGCTTCTGAGAAGACCCGCCGCCTTCTGAGAAGGCCTTTTCTTTCTCATTTCCCCTTTTCGCTCGCCGACGACCAAACAGGGACGAAAATCGGAACGTCTCCCGACTGCGAAGCAGAACATGGAGCGCCCGATTGAGCAGAGAATCGCGGAAAAGCTTGCAGCCTCGATGTTTGGGAAGGGGCTGCCCGGGGATCCGAGAGCACACCGCTTGGCGATTGCGGATGACCCAGGGGCATCGAGGATGGCTCGGCTGCACGCAAGAGGGACTCTAGCAAGACGAGCCTAATAAGGATGAGGACGAATCTGAGCTCTCCCCGAAGACACAGAAGACCGCTCAGAAGGCGCGAGGTTTTCTGAGACGTCCCGCCGCCTTCCAAGGAGGCCTTCTTCTTCTCACTTCCCCCCCTCGCTCGCCGCCGAGAGGCTGAGAAGAAACATGATCGGAGAGCTGCAGAACTAAACAAAACACATGAACATAAACTTTCGACGCTCCGCGCGGATCTCTCGGATCTGCGCTGGGGCCCCCTGGCGGCGCCTCTGGCGCTGCTCTTGGCGCGCTCCGCGCGCCAGGGAAGATGCAAGAATTCCGGGCGGAGTGCCGAAAGTTGATGTTGATGCCTTTTTTTGGAGGGGGGTTCTTCTTCTTCTTCTTCTTCCTTCTTCTAGAAGCCGTCCACCTGCCCCGCTGGCCTCGATCCTGGTCAGGCCGGTCCTGGGCCCAGGATCGGCGCAGGTGCCCAGCTGGCGAGGCCGGGAGGGCGCAGGGTGCACCGGTCCTGGGCCCAGGACGGACCTGGCTGGGCTCGGTGCAGGTGGGCTTGAATCGGGCATGTCCCTCTACAGGCGGAATATTCAAAAATAGTCAAAAACAGTGTATGCGGGAGAATTGTTCTAAGTGTTTTTGAGCATTCTTGGAGTTTTTTTGTTGTTGTTGTTGCTGCATATTTTTGAATTCTTCGCTCAAGATCCGCCTGTAGGAGGACATGCCCGACCTAAAGGTGGGCTGTTGGCGCCTTTCGGGCGCTCGGCGTCGCTCGGACGTGTGCATGTTTTGTAGGCGGGGGTCATTTGAGGAGCAGCCTGGATCATCCCGCGAAGACAAAAGGACACGCGCGAAGCCGAAAAGTACCCGCGGAATGGACGTCCGAGCGATGGCTAGGGCGGGGCTGGGACGAGGATAAGCCTGTTCCAGGGCGTTCCGGAGCGCTCTCAGGCCGTTCCGGGACGCTCTGACCGAGAAGGCCGCGGCGCTCGAGACATTCTGCATCTTTTGGGGCCTGTGCCCATCATGCGCGCAGGCATCTTGCTGATGCAAAAGAGGAGGAACAAGAAGTTCAGGGGCAAAGCCGTTCAGGTTCAGAAGGATGTCGAGAGCGCCGCCAGCGGCCCAGAATCGGCCCACACGGAACGGTCTGGCGATCGAGGTGCCACCGATTTCTCAGGGTTGAGCGATCCGCGCGGTGCCAGAAGCCATCACCTGCGCCGTCGCGACACGAACCATTCGTACTCTGGGTGCGCTCCCTTCCGCGCGCGAAGGGGGGAGGGAGG